TTTTTCTGATAGAAAATGTTTTTTTTTACAATTTTTTAATCTTATTTTCTTATAATTTAATGTATTATTAAAATGATTTATTTTTTTAATTTATATAAGATTCATGATATTAAATATATCTACTCATTTAATTTAATGACAAGTAAAAATTGTATAAAAAAATAAATAAAAAAATTATCCTAATAGAAACACCTTTTCTAATATGACCATTGTCTACATGGCACATGTTGATTGGTAAAATAAAATTAACACTATTGTCTCTAGATTTAATTAAGGATTTAATAATAAACTAAATAAATTTTAAATTACGTATTTGCCCTCTCATTCTCGTCCTCTCTTTCATTTTGTCTCCTCTCTCAAGTTCTCCTTTCTTCGACATCCTTGGTCCTCCAGCAAACAAATTCAAATTATTCCTATGTTTATTTACGTAGAAAACACATTCAAATGACATCAAAGCCAAGATTTAACACACTTACAGGATTAATATTAGCGAAAATTTGTAAGTTTTAATCAAACCCAGAGTCATAAACCCAAGAACAGATTTAGTCAAATCCCAATTTCTCCATTTTCACCAGAAAACTCATCATTCTTGATCATCTCTACCTTACCCAGAATCAATCCATCTTCTCCTCAATGTCAAGCCCCTCGAAACATTATCGAAACAAATCAATTCAAATAGGCAACCAAAAAGATTGAAGAAAAATCAAGTGGATTTGGTTTTAATAGATCAAGTAGGAATTTTCAAAATAGGAAGAATTTATCATTAAATTCAAAAAATTCCTAATTTCACTAAAAATAGAGTTTAGGCAAACTAGAGACAACCCATAAACTTAAATTCAAAACTCGAAAAGGCTGTAAAAACTAAAAACCCAAATCAACTCCGACTGCAAGGGACTTTTTGGTTGCTCAAGTGAGGTCTTTTGCCAATGGCAAAGGACTCACCCAACCCTGCTAACATTGCTATCAACTCCTACAACCCCAGATCAGTGAATTCTTGGTCTCAGCTGGAACAACATTGGCCACACACTTAGATCTGTGAGTATTGGAGAACAGGGAGAGGGAGAAGGGGAAGAGGAAGGGAGGGAAAAGCAAGAAAATGATATTTTAGTTTTCAAGTTTATTTCTTATTAAAATTTCCACGTTGGACTGTCAACGTGTAAAAAAATCTCACGTGAAAACCTCAAATGATGCACAAATTGCCCGTGACCTTCGATATTAAATATTGTTTTATTATCATAAATTTAAAAAATAAAAAAGTAAAAAATTATAAATTATAAGATGAGTAAAATGCCTCATACTAAAAAAATTGAGGGCAAAGTGTGGCTTTTTGCTGGATGTCACAAAGTCAGAGGTTGAGACTTTGCCAATGCCAATGAGCCTCTGGCGGCTAATTTGAAACCAGCAATGCGCTCTTAGAATCTCACAATCTAGGTGCTTATCTATTTCAAAGATTTGCAGGGGTTATGGGTGGGAATTGTACATATCAAGAAGAAAATTATTCACCATCAATCATCTTATTTTAAGTAGAATTTTACAATCTTATATGATAATAAATTACATTAATACATATAATATCACATTTTACTACAAGGTGAGATTACATTTTGTATCAAACTACTGTATAAATAGATTGTGATTTAAGTTAGAAATCATATCAATACCTTTATTAGGACAATAGGTCATATGTAATTACATGATTTCTTTTTAAATATTTAATATGATTATTAGTAAAAAAATAATTCATACACAATGTTTTAATACAATCTAACAGTAATTATAATCAATTCTTTTTTTATTTCTCTAGACATATGAGTTGATAAATATTTATTCATTTTATGCCGTGCCATAGTTGTAAGATATTTTTTTAATAAGATAACATTAGATTGTGAATCTGAAACCTTTTTTAATTAAGACTAGAACCTCTCTTTTATTTTAATAAACATAAAATATATGACTGACCTAAACTAAAACACACAAGAATGTTATACCAAATATCTCCCTGCAGAGCCAGGAGACGCACAAATAGAGGGGAATGAGAATCTTTAATAGATTATACCATCAGAGAACGCTAATTGGTTTTTCACGTTTTAGGGCTCTCTTTTTTTTT